ATATATATATATATATATATATATATATATATATATATATATATATATATATATATATATATATATATATATATAAGAAAGTGGCACTAAAGAAAGTCCTCTCCCAAGTCCTCTCCGTGGCACTAAAAAGAAGGAAAAGTCCTCTCCCAAGAGGCACCAAGTCGAAAGAAAGTCCTCTTCCAGGAGGCAAAAATCCCCAAGAAAAATCCTCTTCCCCGAGGCAACAACTCGTCTTCCCGAGGCACTAAAAAGAAAAAAAAGGTCCTCTTCTAAGAGACCAAGTCCTGAGAAAGTCGTCTTCCAAAGAGGCACAAAGTCCTAAGAAAGTCTTCTTCTAAGAGGTACCAAGTCCCGAGAAAGTCTTTTTCCAAGAAGCACCAAGTCTAAAGAAAGTCCTCTTCCAAGAAACACAAATCTTTGAGAAAAGTCTTCTATTAAGAGACACCAAACCTCGAGAAAGTCCTCTTCCAAGAGGCACCAAATCAGAAGAAAGTCGTCTTCTAAGAGGCACAAATCTTTGATAAAAGTCCTCTATTAAGAGACAGCAAATCTCGAGAAAGTCCTCTTCCAAGAGGCCCAAAAAAGATAGAAAAATCATCTTCCAAGAGGCCCAAAAACGAAAGAAAAGTTTTCTTTCAAGAGGCAAAAATCTCTGAGAAAAGTTATCTTCCGAGAGGCCCCAAGTTAAATTCTTACCCATGAGGTAACATGACCCTCCTAAAAAGAAAGTCCTCTTCCCGAGGCACCAAGGAAAATTCTATCCCATGAGATAATCCACCGAGTCATATAGTTTCTGAGTTTGTCACGTCTCTCGAGACAGACTCAAAACTAAGGGGCATGTGATGGATTAGGGATTTTACCTAATCTTATATTATTTAAACTAGGGGTGGGTACGGGCCAGTCCGAGCCAAGTTTTGCATAAACTGGACTCGGCTTGTTTTTATTAAAACAGTCTGGGCCGGAACGTGTTTTCAAAATTTTAAAATTGAAACCGGGCCTAACCCGGCTTGTTTGAAACGGACTGATTCCACGGGTCGACGGGTCCGAATCTATCATGATACTAACATTCTCCAAAACAAATAGAAATTATAGAATAATGCCTTCAAAGGGTAACTAGATGGTGGATTATGAGGAATTGAGGTGTGAATAATTGCAGGCCACACGTGCACATACAAAACTGACGTAGAAGGATAAATGAAAATAAAACGATTGCATAAATGAAACACGTCCACATAAATAAAACACGTCCACATAATTGCAGGCCACACATCCTAGAAGGACCGAAAGATTGAAGGGCTTAGGTGGATATATCCATATATTTTCTAAAAATAATATTAAAAATAATATTAAAAATAATATTGAGATTTAAAAAAACGGTCCGGTCTGGATCCAATTCAATTTCAAAATGGGGAACCGGACCAACCCTAAAATCTATAAGGATTGGACCGTTTAAAATTTTTGAAATGACGACCCGGACCTAACTCGGACCGAACCTGGCGGTCCGGTTCTGACTCGTGATTCCTGGACCCGATTGCCAACCCCTAATTTAAACAGTACAAGTAAGCCCAATTCTGTCCAGCCCAAGATATAAATCAGATAAATTATTTAAGACGGAACCAGAGATATATAGATAGAATAATATATTTGAAGTCATTAATGATATTCAGCTGGACCGCAGAACATTATCACATGTAAACCACATGGACTTTACATGGAGGATGTCCTATTTTGTCTCCATCAATCACTCTCTTCCCTCCTGTAAATGTGAAGCTGCGGAGAGGAGGAGAGAGGCCAAATTCCTACAACTTCCTACAATTACTCTTCATTCTTCTTCTTTTTTAAGCTTGGAGCTCCATTAATGGTTCCAAGCTCCTACAATGATGTTTATGTAAATTTCCCGAGATTAATAAAATTTCCTCTTTTTGGCATGGCACTACCTAAATACTTTCTCTCTACCTTATTTATTTATTTATTTTCCGAATTTCGCGATTCAGTGTGGTGCCGACCCGGTTT